AGGAGGTTTGTAGCTACTTAGCTTCTTCACACGTAGCGTCAAAACTCCAGAAGACGCTGACTGGCTGGAATGAAAGTTCACCGGTCTTTGCATTGGTTGAATTGTTCTCTTTAAAAATTCTGTTGTCGCTACACAAATCACATGACACAGGTCTGTCTGACTGGGGGTGGGGCCTTCTTCCTCCACTCTAAATGCATTTCAGACAGGTTGTAGACTGCTGCGCTCTACTTGTGCACAGAGAATGTGCAAACAGTGCACTGTTGTGCACACACGCAGCTTAAGAGGGAACATTGCAATGGATTAATCTGCATTATGTAAAATTAACGAGTTAATCTTTTTTTAGATTAATCGCATGTGTTAACGCGTTAACATTGACAGCCCTAGTACACAGTGTCTATATATATATACATATATATAGAAAAATATATATATATATATATACTAAAATAAACTACTACTTGTACTACTATTCTTACTTTGCGGTTTTTCACTTATCGCGTGTCTTCAGGGTACAGATCCCCGGTATAAACGAGGGACTTGTAAATGCTTGTGTGAGTGTGTTCTGCTTTGAGCAAACCATAAGAACATTAAACTTCTTACTTTGGAAGAATAAAGCAAGTCTCTCACCCCGTATGTTTTCTTGCCAGGTAAATTCCAGGTAGTCGTCCAGAAGTTGTGACCTGATCTTTATCTCGGAGCAGTTTCTTGGTGCCAAAAGAGCAGCTCCTCCACCGAGCATCGCAACTCCAGAGAAATCAACTATCACAGCTGGACTGCTCAGACTGGCCCTGACTGATGGGCGAATGTTTACTGGTATTTTTGTGATGCAGGAAAAATTTTAATCATCCTCTTTCTTATTTTGGATTAAGATGAAGAGTTAATTTGCTGTGTAACAAATGTTCTGTTTTACTGTTAAGTGGACCCTGGCTGTGACTGAGCTCACTTTGTCTAATATAGAAATGTGGATGTAAATGTTTTGCTGCATTTTGTGATGTTTAACTTGCTGAATGCTAAAGTTAGTATTTTTCTTTTTCTTTTAATTTACCCTTTATTTATACAGCTAGTCTCAATGAGTCACAAGAACTCTTTGAAGAAACAATTGGGATGAAAAATGCTAATGTTTTTGTTGGAATCACTGTAAATGACACATTTATACAAACTCGTTGGAGTTTAGGTCAAATTTATTTTAGAGTTGATATACAAATTGACAAAAAATACAGCTCTGGTGCACTTGATTTATTGAAAAGATGTGTTTGAGATGGGTTCCAGTCATCTGTGTTGAGTGGAAATTTTTCTTGTAAATCCTGAAACATGTTTAAAATACCAGTGACATGAAAGTGAAGCTCTGGTCTCACGCAAGGAAATTAAATGTTTTGCAGCTCTGCAAGATACTACTTTACCTGAACATTCATTGGTGTGAAATAAATACAATACAGAAGGAAGAACAAGCAAATATTTAAGAATATTTCAAGTTTACAATTTACTCCTCGCCGCCCTCAGATAATAGCAAGCACAACAAATCACATGAGTTTTTCTGCAGACACACAGGATGTCTTTTGACCAACAGAGAACTGGTTTAAGTTTTGTCTTTTCAATCATTAGAAGTTTGTTTTGGAGTCTCAAATGATGACCAGATGTGTACTAAAATAATAAAAACCAGAAAAATTGCAACACGTTGTCCTTTTTTCAATAAAGGCACACAAGTAAAAATTTGAACATAATTTTGATTTGAGAGAAAACTCAAGCTCATGTTGCACCAAACTTGGATTTACTGATGCAGATAAAGTGCATCCAGTGTTTCCCCTACCATTTTATAAGTGGGATGTCCTGCCCCGTTAACAGAACCAACCACCCCGCCTACCGAACCGAACTGCGTGCACCCCACCCACCCCCCCCACCCCACCCTTGGCACTACTGGCATAACACAATACAGGTGAGAAGAAGTTCCCTGCAGACCAAAAGTGGGCGTTTCTGGAGAATAGGTGTTTGTAGAAGACAAACACTGATTGGCAGCTGTATTTTCTGGCTCTTTAGGTGAGTTACATCAGCTCTTTTTTTAAACTGAATGATTGTAAGAACCAGCGTTACATCTGCTGTCAAACACAAGAAGATTCTCTTTAGTTCTGTAGCTGCACCTGACACAGGTTGTCTTGAGTGTGGTCTGGGTACAATGAAATATGAAGCATCTGAAGTGAAACCTGTTTCTATTTGTCCAAAAGTCTGGTCTCAATTAAACATCATGAGTCCTGTAACGAGATAATGACCCAAAACAAAATCTAAAAACAAAATGTTCTCTTTAGAAGTTCTTCTATGAGATCTGATCTATGACAGGAGCTGAAACATGGAGTAGGACTGACCCTTAAAGTGTGAGACAGCTGAGGAAGTTAACCAGTAAACAGAAATATCTGCTCCAGTTGCAGAAATCTGACAGAAACTGACAATCACTCATCTGCAGTGACTGATTTAAAAGTTGATCAAGACAATGTGAAGTTAAAGGAAACATCCTTTGTCCCAAGGCCAGTTTAAGTATCATTATTATTTTGGTTACTTTATTTTTCTTTCTTTATGAATTGATTGTAACTATTTTCACATTATTCAACAACCAAAACAGATTTTGTTTTTTAATGTAATGGCTAGATATTAAAAAACAAACATTTATCCCTCCCCACTACCCAGTTATGTTGCTCTTATTTTGAAATAACCGGAAGTTCTGAGTTAAGAGAGGCGGAAAGAGAAGTTATGGAGACGCCGCTAACGTTGAACCTGTTAACACCATAGACATAATATGTCTGTGGTTAACACAATCTGCAAATAACGTCTTGTTGTTTTTTTGTCCAATCAGATGTGGTCCTCCAGATACGCCTTCCATATTTGTCTGCAGATATGACTACTTGCAACTGATGTTGCCATGGCAATATTAAGCAATATCGCACATTGCATGTTTGTCTTATATCGCTCAGCCCTGATTGGAAAGATTTAAAATCTTTGATGCGTCTGTTCTTTGTTTTCCAAACATCTGAAACCTGAAAGAAAATGTCAGAGTTGTAGTCTTTGCCTTTACATTTATTTTATTTCAATTACCTCCCGTTTGTGCCAGCAGGTGATTACATAACTCCAAATGTGTGTATGTTTCTTTCTTTATCTGTCAGCAAAATTTCTCATGAACCACTGCAGAGATTTTATTGACGTTCTTTGAAAGTAATCACTGGATCTAAATCTAAAACAAGAACTTTTGGAGTCAACTTGATTCAAGATGGACACCACAGCTAACCAAACTGTGTAAATGCAAAAACGGCTGTAATTCTGTCAGCTTTACAGCTACTGAGCTTGTATTTGATGTGGCCGTAGCTGCAAGTCGTACCAAAACATGCAGTCCAAGTGCAACACATTGTGCAAAATTTTAAAACTTTGGCACTAACTGTCAACTTTCATTCATTCAACCTTTACTTAAACAGATAAGCCTCAAAGACTTATTTACAAGTGAGACCTGTTTGGACAGACAAAAACAGTGGTTAACTGGACACATGTAGGAGTTTGAGGTGAAAACAATGAGATGAGAGCGGTGAGCATGATCATAGACGCTCTCAAGGGCACTGTAAGAGTTCTGATAAGGATGTAATAATCAGCCAGTGTCCTCCGGTGAGATCCGTAAACATTCTCGAGGTATGTTGGGGAATGGTCAAGGATAATGTCTATGAGAATCCAAGAGTCCTGAAATGATGACACAATGTTTATTCAGCTGGTTTCATCAGGTTATCAGTTGGAAATTCCTCAGGGAGGGGGTGGTGTGTGTCAGATCACATGTTCTCCAGGCAAATTCAGATAAGATGGCCTTCAAGGCCAGCCAAGGGAGCCAACTTCAGATAAACACACAGATGTTTTAGGGACAGGCAGAACTTAATGACATCTACCTTGAGTCTGTGTTGATCGACCTGGTTCCGAAATGTCCAAATTACACGGCCACACCGATGGAACATGACTGAGTAAAATCCCCAAGATCTGATCCATTCTGCCCAAAGCATTTGAGTCCGGGTACTCGAGGCACGAACCAAGCCATTATAAAGGCAAGCAGCGTGATCGGGTCCAAATTTGCTGCCGACGACTTTCTTGATTGTAGATAAAACCAGCAACCAGCCGAATCCAAAAAGCAGGAACCAGTTATCGTAGATCCAATTAAATATGCGTCCTTAAAATCCACAGATGGCAGCAGAGATAGACACATCATCAAGTCATCAAGTCGATGAGATATCCAGCTGCGTGAGTGCCAACAGGGCAAATTGATTCTGTCACTTTCTGTTAGCAAAATGTCTTGTGAGCCACAGCATGGATTTGAGTGAAACTCTCAGAAAGTAATCATTAAATGTGCATCTACAACTGAATAACTTCTGGGAACAATGCAATTGAAGATGGTCGCCTTAGTTAATTACTTTAAATCAACAGAAAAATAAGTCAGGTCATTTAGCAAATATCGAGCTAAAATTTGACGATGTACCAGTAGGTGTTTTATTGGTTTTTTTCACCACCTGCATCTATCTTCAACCAGCTCACCTGTTTGCCCTGACCAACACTCCTTCCTGTGTGCAAATGTTTAGTTGTTCAGTCAAACCTTTCGTCAGGTGATGCTACATCTCATGTTCTTCTTTGTCCTTCTTTCCTTGGGTTCCTGCCAGTTTTGTTTTTAAAATTCAAGTTTAGCTCCGGAACTGCCTGCTGCTCTCCTCTGGCTCTTTCTACCACTTAATGTGACGCATCAAAGCACACAGTCATGTTGTGAATGCAGATGAAGCACCACGGGTCTTACTGAGTTAGCGTCTCGTAACTCGACCCTGCTTCATTTTGGGTAATCCAACAGGCATAACGTGTAAATGACATGACCTTTTAGTCCATTCTTACACAGCTGTGGTGTGTGTTTGTGTTTCATTCGCCTTTCTTTTCTCTTGGCCTGTAAGATGGTGTTTCAAATCCCCTGCTGACCTGGCCGTCCAGTGAAGACGTGAAAAAGCCAGTCTTCCCACTGCCAATTAGTGTAATGGGGTGTATTTTTATAGATGGAGTGTGTGGGGGTGTACAGAGACAAGAGGAGGAGGGACAGATGATGTGTTGTAAAGAAGGAATGGTGGGAAGAGGACTGAACAAGGTGAGAAGCAAAATTCAAGCAGATGTCTGCATTTTTAAAATAAAAATAAAAAACAATGCTAAAGTGAGGAAAGACAACCTTAACCCTCGAGATTTACATGACATTTTGTTATAGCATCTCGTTTGAAGAGGCAAACTTTTAAAGCAGCCTTGAGTTGTCACAATGATTGTTACCGAGCTAACCGCTCAGGGTGTCCTTGTATTCACAAACATCAACAAGTTCCTGTTAATCACAGATAAGTTACCTGGATGTAAATGACTGAATTAAACACGATTCATTTCAACTTCCAACAAGACAGGAGCTCAGACATGTTAAAGATCGGCCTCCTCTTTAGTGAAATATGACCATGTGACAGTCTAAAGTTAGAAGGTGCTAAGTGTTATGATCATTGAGTGTTTTAACAAAGTTTGAGTGTTTATTAAAAAAACACAACTGGTTGTCTGTGATCCATGACAACTATCCTGTCAAAGGGTTGCAATCAGAGCTTGTCTGTGTTCATCGTCATCATTAAAGGAAAGGATCAGTTTATAAAAGAAATTGAACTGAACTGTTTATTTGTTCTAACAAGGTTAAGTCAGGTCCTCTGGATGGATTCTTCTTGTAGAAATGTTGCATCTTTTATCTAAAAGACTTCGTCAGTCTGACGTCCTGCAACAAACTCAGTCTTATCCACCTTATTCCCCATGCTGCCTTGTGTGAATTATGGGCGCGACTTCTTCCGGCGTGGACCAGAACCAGCATTTGTTTATGTGTGAAAAGTGCGAGCTAAAGTAGTTTCTCTGAGTATTGTGGATTTAATTTAAACTTGTAGGAACACCACCTGTCAGAGCTCAAACAGGACAATATAATCATACCACTGCTGCTGAGGACGAGCTGCATCTACTAGCATATTTAGCTACATCTATGAACACAGGGCTATTCAACTGATTGCCTGCGGCCCATATCCAGCCCGCAGATGACTTCAATCCAGCCCACTTGATAAAAAAATTAAAAAAATTCTGGGTTTGGGCTCTGTTTATTCTAATTATAATACAATGCAATAAAACATACAAATTTAAAAGGTAACAGATCATTGAACATTGGTCATTGAAAACTGATCATTGGTTTATTTACATAAAGATTTTAATTGCTGTATGTCCGGCCCAAGAGCTGTTGGTTTTCAGAAACCACCACCCCCCCGAGCAATTTTTTGAATAGCCCTGTACTAGCATATTTAGCTACTTATACAAGCATATTTAGCTACTTATACGAGCATATTTAGCTACTTATGCGAGCAAATTTAGCTCTTTATACGAGCATATTTAGCTACTTATATAAGCATATTTAGCTACTTATACGAGCATATTTAGCTACTTATACGAGCATATTTAGCTACTTATACGAGC